AATGGTCTCTATCTCCTGACCTCGTGATCCACCAACCTTGGCCTCCCAAAGTGTTGGGATTACAGGCGTGAGCCACCGCGCCCGGCCCCCCAACTGCTTTTAAGTGCTCTCAAGTTTCCTTGTCATCTACCAGCCCCGAGACCCACTGTTTTACCTTCTCTAGAGGAAACTTCTCCAGCCTTCTTTCAAAGTGCAGCAGAGATAGTTGGGACATAAGAATCTGTTTCCTAAACAGACTTTCAACTGTTTATGTCCTCTTTTCCTGAGGAATATGATGCCTTGAATTGTGAACTTTTTGGGAGTTTGTGATCAAAATTGGACTTGGATTTCTAGGATGTGCTAAATTAGGTATACCTCCTGTCCAGCTGCTAAACCCTATCCTTATTTTTAACGCAGTTTCAAGGGAGAACACTGCTCAATTCTTGTGTTTAATTCATCATCTGTAACCAGAAGCATCACCAAATCTGAAGTATCAATGAAAGCAGTAAGGTATTCAGAACAGAAATAGTAGTCATGTTACAGGCTACAGCAGTCAGATTACATCTGGAGCAACACTTTCCATTCTGAGCAATGTAATGTTGACAGACTACATAATGACTAGAGAAGAGAGACGGCAATAGTTTAAGGTACAAAACCAAGTTAAATGAGAAGCAACTGCAGGAACTGTTGATATTTCTCTAGACCAAAAAGGCCTCTAAGATGCTGTGATCAAAATTTGAATGTAGTTAAGATGAATACCCACAGGCCAATGATATCAACTCTCTGTTCAAAGGTTTTGGAGGGCTGAGAATACTTATAGCTCCCTTAAAAAAAAAAAAAATATATATATATATGTATATTATATATATATTTTTTTTAATTTATTTTTTAAATTTTTTTAAAAATATTTTGAGATGGAGTCTCACTGTTGCCCAGGTTGAAGTACAGTGGCATTATCTCAGCTCACTGCAACTTCCACCTCCCGGGTTCAAGCAATTCTCCTGCCTCAGACTCCCTAGTAGCTGGGATTACAGATGTGCCGCCACATCTGGCTAATGTTCGTATTTTTAGTAGAGACGGGGTTTCACCATGTTGGTCAGGCTGGTCTCGAACTCCTGACCTCAAGTGATCCACCCGTCTCAGCCTGCCAAAGTGCTAGGATTATAGGCGTGAGCCACTCGCTTAGAATTATCTAAGTATTTAAAGAATACTTAATTGACTGTTGTATCACAAGGAATTAGACATTAAATTAGACATTAAATTTCTTTACAGAGAACATAAAAGTGGTAACTGAACCAAGTGAAAGCAAAATACATTTTGGCTCAGTGTAAGGAAGACCTACAATAGGAGTCTCAGACATAAATGTGAACAGGGACCGATAATATAAATATGTGAACTGGCTGGATAAAGATATTAGCAAACTGAAAAGTGCATGCCATGTATAGAGTGATAGAGTGAGTAGCAGTATTGAAAAGTTCAATATTTTTAAAACTCAAATTTTGAAATTTATTTACAATATTCCAATTTTTTGACATTAATTTATTTTTGAAAACTTCATCTCTTATACCAAACATATGGGTAGGATGAATTGATCTTGTGGGACTCCTATTTGTAACCTCTCTAAGGCTTAGGTCTAACATCCCAATGTTATCATTGGAACTGTCCCAGTCAGATTTGGCTGCTTATGTATCAGGCATAACAGTGAGAATAAAATTGAACTAAATAATGTCTAATTGCCTTTTGACTTCAGAAAGTCTGCACTTGAAATGTAATTTTTTTTTAATAAAAATGTAGTTACCCATGGAGTAACTGTGCCCATTGCATGATACCCAGTCTTTACTTTTCCTTCTTGTGCCTTTCACTGTTTTTGGTCACTTAACATCTTTGTGTAAAGCATGTAATTTGTGCTATGCATATGTGGCAACTTATATGTGGTTCTTTTAAAAGAATTATCTAAGAATGAGGCAAAATTGCTGGCCAAACTGATTTTAAGTGTTAGTTCTGGTTTTCTATATTCTACATAGTCACTATATCCCCAAAGAAGTTGTGTGATGTAATGGAAAAAATAATATATGCATGGTGGATGCACACTAATCGTAATTTTAGAAGCTGGAATATACATTTGAGGCCATAACCCATTCCTCTAGTTTACATTTGAAAGTCTTGAGACCTGAGAGAGTTAAATGACTTGCTAAGTTGTGCCCAGTACATAATACATGGTGTTGGGCAGAGTTAGGGAAGAGAAAATATGATCTTGTTCTGAGGAACTTAATGATCTCAAATGACAGGACACCACACACATATCTATTTGAGCAATTTAAGGTATAGAAAATCCAAAATAATGTACTGAGAGCTTACGAGTTTACTTTAAAAAAAAAAAAAAAGATACTATGGAACTTGACCTCAGGCACAGCCCATGTTGTGTGTCCTTCCCCACACTTTCCGATTCTCCATCTCCTTCCTGCCATTACTTCTCTGCTGGAAAATTTCACTATCAAATAACTAATAGTAAATTAGGAGTGAGAAATTTATGAAAGAGTAATAATGAAGAGTAAATGCTAGCTACCAAGTAATTAGCTTTCAACTAATTAAGCATTATAATGACTGTCCCCTTGAATAGGGAGGCAATGAGCATTTTAAAATGAGTTTTAGTGCATTTCACTCAACTTTCCATAAGGTAGTGTTAATTCCTTCCAGGTAACCCTGATTTCTTTTCATAAAGAAAATATGGTAAAATGTATAAAACATTTATCTTTTATCTCTATAAATACAGACACTATTCAGGAAACAATTACTAAAAGAATGGAGTTACAAATTAAATTAATTCATTTTCTTCATAAAAAGTTAAAGAGAAAAACATAAATATCAAAGGACTGAGTCTATTATTTTAAAAGCAACTGTCTCATGACTGGAAAAGGTTAAACATGTTCAAAAGTAAGTGACATCTCAGGAAAAAAAGATGCAAGCTTTGAATTTTAGTGTTACATTTCTCAATGATCTTCCAAAAAGATATGTGGAAGGTATTAGTCATTGCAGGAAACTGAAGGTATATTATGATGGAATAAGGATCACATTTTTCTCTTTGAGGTGATTTATATTTAAATGAGTTCTCCATAATCCTTTAAACTGAAGTGCAAATTGGTTATCAAAGTCCTTTGCTGTAAGGGTTGTTTTACATAATAATGAATTTTACAGAGTTCCTCAAAGGGAAATATTGATTTAGGCAACATCACAGAATATTTCAGTTACAGTAACACCTCAGTGCCATAGACAGCATGTAAAAACTTTCCAAAATCTAAAATTTTTTATTAAAAAGTATAGGCAGTGTACCTTTTCTGAATAGAAAATACACTTGTAATAGAAATTTTTAATTAAGAAAGATTCCATTTAGTCTATCATTACTCATCTACCTTAACAAGTGTTAGTGTGAGTTGACCATGTGCTAGGTACATGGCTTGTGTTTTTTAAAAATGGGCTGTATGAAGGTATGAGGAAATGTCCATTTGTCTGTACATGGGTATGTTGCTACTAATCCTGGATAACTCCAATGATTATATTTTTAACTCTGTGCTATATAATTTACATATGCTACTTTGTTTATTACTCACCATGTGAGGCAGCCATCAGTATCATTTTATAAATGAGAAAACTGTGTATGTGGTATGTAATGATTTGAACCAGAGTTTATTTCTGTCATCCATTATGCTACACTACCATCTCAAATCTGCCTATTTTCATTCTTGAGCCCTATATGGCTCACCGCCAAGGGTAAGCTCCAACACTCACCTCAGTGATAAGAGTCAAAAAACTGACAGGCTCCTGTGTGTGGTAGCTCAGGGGCCCTAGGTCCCCATGAGTTCTCATCATTTAGGTGTTACCCAGATAGCCTTACTTCAGTGAAATCCTGGACCAAAGCCCTGGGGAGAACCTGAGATTGGGGCTGTAAATGGGAAAAGGCATTAAATTCAGTTACAAGCCGCTGTCAGTTTTTGACAGGCTCCTGTGTGTGTGAGACAGAGGTCTATCACTAACTAGATATACAGATCTAGGAAAATCACTTTACTTTTCTGAGGCTTTGTTTTCTCATCTGCAAAATGAAGAGGCCAAATTTATCAAGGGCTTTCACACTTTATTTATTTGTTTTATAAGAAGTGGAACTCTTCCAGCAAATTAAGTCTTATATTGAATGCCAGTATCTAGAACAGATACAGGGAAATGACACTGGTCAGAGCAAGGGCTGGGTTTTGAAGAAACATAAGTCTAGCTACCTACTGGGTCTCTTGCTAATCCCCATCTTAACTCTAAGGAGGCTTCGGAGGCATCTAAAGCCTTGTAGAACACACTTTTCAAACTGTGGCCTACTTCTTAGTTTATACCAGTTCTCATATACTTGTGACTTAAAAAATATCTGTAGCCGTATGAAAAGAGCATTAGAGTTGTACTAGAAAGGAGCTGGGTCAGGGCTGACAATTCAAAAGACAGAGGCTATTAAATTGTAAAACACGTAATCAAATAACTTGGCCTGTGGGTAGCCAGGCACATGCTCTTAGTCTTGAGGTTCCTGAACTTGGCTACTGAAGTGTTTCAGGGTGGCAGCAAAGGCAGGAGTGGGGCATTATAATAATTGTTGAAACCTGTCAAATTTTGCTGCAGTTAATTTAATTATATGTGAATATTATGTTAGCCTGATAGCATTATTCTGTTAATTGATTTTCTGAAAGCTTACTTGATATTGAGACAAACTCAATTGTGACTCAACTAGTGCTGATTATTCCATCAAAACACTTTTCCTTGCCTTTTATTTTTAGTATGAATCTTAGAAAAATTGGTTCATGTTCTCTAAAAGAAAAAAATCATATTTTATTATTGCAACTCTTAGCTTAAAGATATTGTTGGCATATCTGTATTAACCGCTGTTAAACTCAACCAGTGTCTTTCTGACCCTGTACTGCCTCTGTGATTGACAATGTTTCACTGGTTCAATTCTGACCTGTCTGTGATCACAGATCCTTTTCACTTACCTGCCTCCGCCTTCTGCTGTTTCTCAATCTTCTCCAGGCGCCCTAGCAAGGAGTCAATTTTAGTTTTGATCTGGGTTAATTCTTTCTTGATGGTCTGTAACTCATCTGATTTCACTGGAAAGGAGAAAGAAGGAAGAAAACAGCAGAGCATCAAATGCACCATAACTCACCTAGGACCCAACTCACAGGCACCCCATATTTTCTCAAGTCTGTGTCCAATCACATAGGATGTTTTTCAATATTATCAACTTCTCATTACTTCTAGTGATCCTGGAATACTGGATGATTTTGCCAATTACAAATACGGATTCTCAGTGACATGAGCATTTAATCCTAAATCTTTTGACTGAAGGTTATGGAAATGGATAATGGAATTTAGAAATATTTTATAAAATGATAAATTTAGCATCATTTGGTAAAATTTTAGCAAATAGAGTAAATCTTCAATGTGAGAGGGATTCAGATGAAGGAATAATGAAATCATAACGGATACTACTTTGAGGAACTACGTTGTAATATATATTTTAGCAGTCAATGATATTTTAATCCAGCTCCTTGGAAATTGATGGAAACCAGGATATACAATTTATCCTTTAAATAAAATGTCTTAGATGCGAGAAAACTCCAGCTCCCTCAAAGTTGCTATGAAGCTTCAGTTTTTCTTAAAAAAAAAAAAAAACCGGCAGTGAGTTGTGCATGCCTTCCTCTAAGCCCTGGGCTTGATGAAAAGGAAAATCACTGAAGTTCCCATTGATATTTTCAATAGTAGTGGTTCCCATTCTAGATTTTTAGAGTTTAGTACCATTTCAAAGAAAACAAGTGGGGACTAACATAAGACTGGCAACTTTTCATTTTTCCAAGTATGGATGTTAAAAACAACAATAAATAGCCTACTGTTGACTACAGTAATTATTTTATAAGGCAAAAAGGCTTAAGGAAAGAACAGTCTCATATTTCAAAGACAATGCTTTAAATGAAATAGGTTTATATTTGTAAAAAGTTTACTGCACTGTCCTTATTTTTCTGAAAACCATTTCAATTTTATCACCTTTTCATTACTTCTAGTGATCCTGGAACACTGTATTATTTTGCCAGTTACAAATAGGGATTCTCAGTGACATGAGCATTTAATCCTAAATCTTTTGACTGAAGGGTATGCAAATGGATAATGGAATTTAGAAATATGTTGAATCCACAACAATCAGAGATGAAAGATTTTAAAACTATCACTATGGAACAGCTATACCTTCCTCCGAGCTTTTATTAGGTGGACTGGCAGTATTCACACCTCAGTCAAGAGCCAAGTTTCAAGATATTGGACACTTATTTGATTCCAGTCTATTTCTCTTCTGTCTCTTTTCCTTCTGGTTTCTAATAATCTCGGACTAGATATTCCCCAGAAATTTCTGAGGGAATTAGAGTGTTTAGTTTGATTCTTTAGTCTTCAGACTTTTTTGAAAAAATAAAAAAATGCAATCTATGTTGCTTAAAATAGAACTATTTGTCAATTAAGAAATGATATAGTATACATGATATATTATGGATTATAAACACTAAGTCTCAAGGGAAGAACAGATTTTTATATAAAAATGAGAAAACTTTTCCCATTGTAAAATCACATTTTTTTTTTAAAGCAGACTTTTATTTACAATGCAAAGTTGTTTGTAAAATAAAAACTGCAAGAAGCATGGGCCCTCTGGAGTATCCCTCTGATGAATGACTAAACTGAAAGTAGTAGAACAGTGTAAAATACAGAATCACTCCTCATGTCAATTACTTCAAAGACATCAAAGTACCATTGTGGAATTGCAGCTAAATTTGAGAAACATCATCTGTCACAATTGCAAATTGATTCTGCTTTGAAGAGTGGTACTCATTCCTTTGATGAAGGCATATGCAGTTTTACTTAAACGTATCAAATTTAATAGAAAATATTTTATCTTATAACATTAGATTTCAATGCAGGAGAAATAAGACTATGGCTGAAAACTAACAGAATATATTTCTTAGCAATTAGAGCTACTCCTTAGCCCAGGAATGCAGTTGACTAATTTTAATTTATGTATTGCCTTAAAAAACATAAACCAATAAACCACTACTACTCTACTTTATTGAACCTACATTAGAAAACAATTGGAAATACAGACTCATCTGGCTGGAACTTAGAAGTCTCCAGGGAGCCAAGGTTTTGTTTAAGTCTAGACTCATGTCTAGCACTGAAAGAACACCTTTCAGATCTCAGCTGGATTATTATGGAATTTGGGTCTAGTAAGTTAATGTTACTCAAGAAACAATGCTCAAATGTAACACAGAAATCTGGAGAGATTCTGTCAGTTCTTTCCTGGACCTACCAGGAAATGTTAAAGTGAGCCTCTAACCCTATGCAGGCTGCTCAGTTCCTCTCTTAGAATGGGGGGGCAGCAAATGCTCATCTAGGTCCTGCAAAGCAGGCTCTACATATAATCTTGGCTGCCTCTTGAGCAATTGTAGAAGTCGTTTCCTCATCACACTTCAATATCTCAGTGCTGTCCTTGGGAGAAGGCTTGCCCCTTACCTGGTCCAATTGGCCTTAGTCCACTTTCTACTTTTCTTTATGCAGAGTCACTATCTATATATGGGCTATGGTTTTGTGCTATTACATCTGGTTTCTGGATGGAATGCCTGGAAGGAACCTCCTCTGTCTCTCATGTACTGTTCTTTCTAACTCTCTTCTGCTTTTGTTTTCTACTTTTTCCCCTCCTGTTAATAACTTCTCTACTGCACAGTGAATTATATTGTCCCTATTTTTGCTTACTATTATTCTCTAGTAGTTGAGTGTATATACATACATCAGAGATATTTTAGAAGACATTGGTAATACTATCTTCACAGGAAAAATATCTTTTGCTCTTTTTCTCTAGATAAATTTTACCACAGAAAATACTTGTCAAAAATTATACACAAATATGGTGAAACCCCATATCTACTAAAAATACAAAAATTAGCTGGGCATGGTGGCATGCACCTGTAATCCCAGCTACTTGGGAGGCTGAGACAGAGAATTGCCTAAACCCAGGAGACGGAGGTTGCAGCGAGCCAAGATCGTGCCACTGCCCTCCAATCTGGGTGACAGAGTGAGACTCTGTCTCAAAAAAAAAAAAAAAAAAAAAAAAACACACAAAAGCAGACATGCTGTCATAATAAAAATCTTTGGTTGTTTTGTTGAGGACAACTTATTTTTCTATGAGTGATTATAGGGCTTGAATTTAGAATTACCAAACAAAATCAGCAAAGTGATAAATTAAAAAAATTACAAAGTTCCTAGGACAAATTACTTTAGCTTATTTTTAGGCAAGAAGAACACTGGAGAAATAGAAGTCAGGTTGCCTCACTATTACTGTGGTATTTTTATTTTAAAAAAGAAGTCACATTAAGTCATTTCAGATCTGCGCTCTCTATACAGGTCATTGATTTGGTGATAAATGTTATTACATTCTGATACAGTTGACAAAATGATTGTGCCTTCTGCTGTGACGTGAGATATAATCCAAAAAGAATATTAGGCACATGGGATGATACCATCTGTCTATATAAAAATGTGTGCATTTCTGACTTATGTGGTAAAAAATATTTCAATTTATTTTAATCATCTTTGGGTCAAGTCTATTCTGGGTAAATAAAGAAGCTTCAGCTAACTGTCTAGATCCGTGGTTCTTAATAGAGGGTGATTTTGCTCTGCGGGAGAGATTCTACTGTCTCTGGAGACATTTTGGCTTGTTATGACTTGGAGGGGTGGTGCTACTGGCTTCTAGTGAGGATTTAGTCTGCTCATCATCCTACAATGCACAAGATAGCCCACACCACACCACACCACACCACAGAATTATCTGACCCCAAATCCTGATCATGTGAAAACTATTGAAACCTTGCTCTAGATAATTATATAACCTCCCTTACCAATATCATGCTTCCTATCAACTATTTAGAAAACTGAAAAATGTTTGTAATCATGTGGACTTTGACAACAAATCACATTTTGTTATTATTTTTATTTTCCCCAGCCATTAATACATTATTTGAATGTCCAAAACAAAGAAATATATTTGCATATCACTTAATTTATAAATCAGTTTTAAATACAGTATTTCAACAATAAAGAATCTGAGAATCTGATGATGTACAGCATTTTCCCAAAGTCACGTGATATGCACAGGTAAGCGTTTAGGCTGAAACCTAGATTTTCTTACTTTCAATTCTACACTTTTTATTGTGTCATGCAGCTTCAGTTGATGTGAAAAATATGATCATCAGTTTCAGTTATTTCCTTCACTATGAATTAATGAACCACTGTGTTTAATTCAATAATATTCAGAAAAATAAAAGGAAGGTTTCTGGAAATCTTTATCATGATCACTTCAATGCCTCTTCTCTGCTTCCATCTGTCCCCTTCTTTATATATACATAAATATCCCATAATAAGAAAATGAACAACTGGCCTGAAGTTATAGGACAGGTGATACCCTTGTAACATAATACGTAATACAATTTTTTTAAAGCTAATTTAATATGAAGAGGCTAATTTGCTAGTCTCAGAAATAGTTTTCAAAAGCCAAACTTTAAAGTATTTTGCTAAAATAAATTGCAGCATCTGGTTATCACCCACCCCATAGATGAAATTTCCTAGAACAGGGAATTACATATATATGCATATGTATGTATTCATAATACTTATGCCTACTTACATCTATACCCATTATTTCTATATTTTTTAAAAAGGAAATGAAATGGAGAATGAGTGGATTTTATTCAATAAATATTCATTAAATGCTTACTATCTGCATCTGTTCATCTTGCATTTCATTAGAAGCTGCAAGTATATCATTTAATTTATTCCCAATATGCAAATCAGAATTGTTAAACTTACTTTTGGATTTGAACAGTGAATATTAGAGAAGTTAAGTAATGTGTTTTAGCAGGCTGGGCATAGTGGCTCAGCCTATAATCCCAGTGCTTTGGGAGGCTGAGGCGGGAGAGTTGCTTGAGCCAGGAGTTTGTGATCAGCCTGGGCAACATGATGAGTTCCCTATCTCCACAAAAAATAAGGAAATTAGCCAGGCATGGTGCTATGCGCCTAT